CCGCGCGGCCCGCCGCACCACTGGCCTCGCGGGCCCGCGCCGCGGCCGGGGGCGCGTCCATGAAGATGGAGCCGGGCCGGCCCGCCTCCCCCGCGGGCGGTCCGGGCCCTGACCCGGAGCCTGGCGGGCCTGACGGGCCAGGGGCCGCTCCTACGCCTGCCGACCCCGCCCCGCGCCCGGGGCTCTGTCCGCAGGACGCTGCGGCCGGCCTGAGCGCCTGGGGGGCTCCGGGAGCCTCTTGCCTGCTGCCGGACCAGAGCGCCTACCCGGACTCCGAACCTGACCCCGACCCTGACCGGCAGCTGCCAGAACTCGGCCCGCTTTTCCCCTGGACTGAAGAGGCGGAGGACTATGGCTCCCCAAGTTGCCCGGAGAGCCCGTCTCTCCACGCGCAGGATTTCAGCCATAGCCTCCACAGGAGGAGCGAGGTCGATTTCTTCCCTTCCTTCCCTTCACCCACTGTGGGCGAGTTGACGCTGGAGGTGGGTCCCGGGGATGCGGACCGGCCCTCGGACTTAAGCCAGAACTGTCCCTTCACGAGCGAACCCGCGGGGTGTCCGGAGGACGGCCCCCGCCTCCGAGCCGTGTTCGATGCCCTGGACGGGGACGGGGACGGCTTCGTCCGCATCGAGGACTTCGTCCAGTTCGCTACGGTCTACGGGGCAGAACAGGTAACCCGGCGAGCGCACCCGAGCCCGCAGCGTGGGAGCTTGGCCCTGCGCGCCTCCCCTGGGCCCACGCGGCCCGCGGTGTTTGGGGAATGCACGGTTAGGACCAGTTATCCCGCGAGTTCTTTTTATTTATTCACTTCTACCCTCACCTCTGGTTGAATTTCACTAAATCTCCCCTTCCTCCTTTGAAGAGGTTCTATTCTAGGGCGTCAGTTTCTTTCCATGTGCCCCCGACCCCCGATCTCCCGTGTCACACGAGCTGGATCATTCCTAAACCGAAGGGAGTTTCTGCCCCCCGACCCCCCCCCCCCCCGCCTGATAGAAGGTGCCCCCTGAATGTAGGTTTCTCCAACTGAGGGGCCAGATCTGGCTTGGCTGAAATATTATAATTCACTCCTTGAGTCCGCAAGCCAGGCTGTGCTTGGTGGCGTAAGATCATGCTAATGACCTTTTTGGCATATGTTCTCCGTAGACTCATCTTTTATTGCCTGAGAGACAGTGAAGGCTAAAAATTTTCACTTCGGTACCTTCTGTGCAGAAAGGAAGGGAATGTATCCCGGAGGGAGGGGTGATCCATGAATACAAACTCGAGCAGAACTCCATCAGGCCACCTCCACTGATGGTAGGGAAGGTGAGACACACAGACAGGCAACCACCGAAGGCACAGGTGCTGTGTGGCGCCAGGGGGAGGGGGGTCCCAGGCAGCCGCGGCTCTGAGAGAGGGTGGGCCTCAAGTTCCAGCCCTCCCCTCTCTATCTCAATACTTGTGAAAGTTTAGGTGGAGACCACAGCAAGGCTGTGTGTCTTCTAATAACTTGGTAGACATCAAATAGATTACTGGTGTTCACTTTTACATGTTTTGTAGGAAATCCCTAAAATGCTGATCTCGTTTTTGTGTTTTATTGACTTCTCACACATGCACACGTTTGTTAAGTGGGTGTTCAAGTGCATATGCATGTTTAAGCCAAGAGACCTTTAAGAAAAGAGGTAAAATTGACACTTGGCTATTAAAGGTGTCAGTCACAACATTAAGAACTTTTATAAGGGATTCCTGTTCCCCCTGCCCAGCATTCAGTGTCCCTTGAGCTGTCAGTGTAAAGTACTGGGTCCCCCCCGGAGTCAGGCCTCCTTGTTGAGTTTTCAACCCAGGAAGATGTTCACCCCTTTGTGAGCATCAGCCTAATGCTTGTGTTTAGCTCAGGGTTGCAAGACTTTGCTCAGGATGGGTCTCTTATCTCTTAGTCTAATGGGCAGAGAGATAAAAGAGATAATTGCCTGTATGGTTAGCATGATTGGTGGTTCAGGGTCTTTGTTGCTTTTCTGTCTTGTTCCTGGGCCAGAGAACACCTTGGGCATCCTTGGTTGTTGTTTTGGCTAGTGTGATGTTTTCTCTCCAGACATACCCCTCTTCTCATTACACCAAAGATATTATGAAAGTAACGCATTTGTTCTCATTTGTTTTCACTGGATCATCACCACCTTTCTCTGAGGTGGTAAGTAGGCAAGCAGGCTTCACTCCACTTTAGAGGTTAGAATAGAAGCTGGGAGCCCACAAAGGTGAACTAACATTCCCGAGGCCCCACAAATTGTCAGTGCTAGAATAGGGACTAGAGCTAGGTCTGTTGGCTCATAACCTTTAAATGGCACTCAACTTATTAGATTTTGTGGCTCAAAATATTCCCACCCAAGTTTCATCTTATTGACTTCCATAAAATCCTTTCCATTTGAGAAACACCTTTTGTTGTGACTGTCCTTGTTAATCACAGTGGGAAAAACTTTGGGTTGCCATCTGGAGCTGAGCTTTCTTGTCATCACAAAGTAGAAAGGAGTCAAAATTCTTTGCTCTGATAGCTCCTGGTGGAATTTTAAGTTTGGTAGGAAGGCCCGGATGACTCAGGGTTTGGTGGAGATGGGCGAGTGTGGAGCCATCTGTGGCATTGCCCATTCCATCTGCCCTCCCAGGCGGCTCAGGAAGAAGCAGTGTCAGACTGGATCTAAATACCTGGACTTAAGGGAGCTCCCTGAAATGGTGGAGAAGAGAGCTCCTGTTTTGGAGCAGATAATTTACAGGGTAATGAAAGGTTGACTGACTTTTGTGTCTGTGTAAGTGTTGTTATCCTTTATTATGACTCAGGCTTGCTTTTTCCAAGTTAGTTGTCAGAGGGCTATATTATAGAGGAGCAAAGCAAAGAAAAGAAATATTCTCTGATAGCGAAGTGATTTAGAGAAAAGTGAAGAATTCCATCTCATGATGAATAGTTTTAAACTTACATGAAAAGTCTTGAACCTATACAAAAGGAGAGAGAATAGTCTAGTGGTTCCCCTCTCCACCCTTCAGCCATTGCTCAGTTTCAACAATCTTATTTCTTTTGTAAACTCCCCGACCGCACATTATTTTTGAAGCATCTATCTGACATATCATTGCATTCATAAATATTTCAGTGTATATCTCTAAAAGATAAAAATCCTTTTTAAAACATTCATGATTCTTTAAAAACCCTAGAAACAGTTCAGATCAGAATAACAGCAGTAAAGACCATTAAGTTTTTGTACTTTCCACCTTGAGATTTCAAAATATTGAGTGGGTGAGACTCTTTAGGCTGGTCACATTACTGTTTTTAATAATAGCAACTAGATTATCTTGATTATTGTGAAATTTTCAAAGGTGGCATGTTCAGTATCTTTTTATGGAACCTGTTTATGAAGGAAGCATTTTAAATCATTTAAGCGCTGTATCTGCATTTTTAATAGAAACAGCTCCCATTTATAATACAGATGGCTTTTGTGTCCCTCTTTCTTCAGCAGTGTCATGGTGTGTTTGGATCTGATTACATCATCTGGTGCTAGATCAGGTGTGGTGTAATATAACACAGTGTTAGTAGGAATCAGCAGAGGAAAGGAGAAAGGATACAGTGGAGCTTTCTGGTTGAAACAGGACTTGAGAGTCAGATGCGTCCAGGCACCAGTTGTGAACTTGGAATAGGTTATTTTTAACAGCCTTGACCATGTCTGCAGATTCCTCATTGACATGACCCCCTTCATCCTGAAAGGACCCGTACAAAATGCAGTTACTACTAACTCATTGTGAAGCAGAAATTGTAAAATACATTCTAAGAGTCTTGTGAGAAAGGATTGGTCTATTTTGGTTTTATTTTTCAAAGGAATTACTTGTAAAGATTATCTTCACATGTTGTTATTACATTCACTTAAGCATTTACATTTTGATACATTCACTTAAGCATTTACATTTCGATAGACCGTGATCTTTTCTGGAGAACCCTACCTGAAGAAGTCTCGAATGCCCTTCGGTCACCTTGTAGGCACTGTCTGTCCGCTTCAGTGCGATACCTGCCTAAGTAGGCTGCTGAAGGAAGTGTTGCCACGCAGAAGGCCTCCCTGCTTTTCATTCCTGCAACTCTGCTGGTGGGAGTTAGAAGTTCCTAGGGACATTTGGCTGTACCTTGTAGTTGCTTCAGGGTCCTTTCAAGTTTCTACCCTCGCCTTGAATTTGAATGTGTTTGAGCCTGTCTGTGTGTGCAAGGGAGAGAGAAGGAGTACGTGGTAGAGCAGGTCATATGGGAGCTGGTGTGTGAGAGGGACTGAACGTGTGAGAGAGAGCAGGTGCATGTGGGAGCTTCTGTGGGGTGTGTGAGGGGTGTGTGTGTGTGTGTGTGTGTGTGTGTGTGTGTGTGTGTNTTTTTTTTTAACTTTATTGGGGAACATAGTGTTTTTCCAGGACCCATCAGCTCCAAGTCCAGTCACCGTCTTTAATCTAGTTGCTGAGGGCACAGCTCACTGACCCAGGTGGGGATGGAACCCGCAACTTTGTTGTTCAGAACACACGCTCTAATCAACTGAGCCACCTGGCTGCCCCTGTCTGTCTTTTAAGTAAATGGATGTCACGGGTATAGCTAAATTTCTACCTTTCACCCCTTTCTTCTTCTGTCCCCCTCAATATAATTCCCATGCTTGTTTTGGTATTTTTACTACACATAGAGGTGTTTGAAAACAATAGATTCATCGAGGATGTGGTTTTAAACTCTACAAAAATAACATTACACATTATCTGTTCTGTAATTTGCTTTTTCACTTGTTTTAGAAGTCTGCCCACTTTGATGTGGTTCATTCATTGAATCTGCTACATAGTATTCCATCACAACAGACTCCACCTCAGCCATTCAGCAGCCTCTTCATGGAACTATGAAAACCAGGGCTGTGTGAACACCCTTTCCTGTCTCCACAGGGACCTGTGCACACGTCAGTCTGGAAGGTACAGAAGTGGAAGTGCTGGGTTGAAGGGCACACAGACCTTCCTTCAGCTGTATCAATAATATGAATCCCCACACTGCTGGGATCAGACTTAATTTTTACTCTGATTCAGGCCAAATGCTGTCTTTACTCATTTCCTTGAGAACCATTGAGGTTCAGCATCTTTTATATATGTTTATTGGCCACTTGAGTTTCCTCCTCTGGAAATGCTAATTCATATCCATTGCTCATTTTTGTACTGGGTTGCTGTTTTACTTTTTTTTTTAAACCTTGAAACAATTTATTAAGTTGCTTCCTGTTCTTTTACTGTTTTTGTTTTGTTTTGTTTAATTGGGGAACAGTGCATTTTTCTAGGACCCATCAGCTCCAAGTCAAGTAGTTGCTTCAATCTAGTTGTGGAGGGCGCATCTCAGCGGCCCATGTGAGGATCAAACTGGCAACCTTGGTGTTATGAGCACTGCGCTCTTATCAAGTGAGCTAACTGGCTGCCCCCCTCTTTTACTGGCTTTTGAGGAATTCTTTGCGTATTCTGGAAACAAATCCTTTGTCAGTTACATCTGTTCTAAATCACTTCCCAGTTGCTATGGACTGAACTGTGTACCCCAAATTCATGAATTGAAGCCCTAGCCCTCAATGTGATGGTATTTGGAGATGGGGCCTTTGGAAGGTAATTAGGGTTAGATGAGCTTATATGGGTGGGGCTCTAACGATGGGATTTATACCAAGAGGAA